GCGAGCCGTGCCCTGCCGCTGTCCGCGGGCTCCGCGGGGCGCGGGCCGCGCCTCGGGTCCCTCCTGCAGCCGTGGGCGGGAAGGGGCTCGGGGCGGGCGCGGGGATGCCCAAGGCAGGCAGCGGACGCGCTCCCGGCTGTGGGGCCTCTGTGAAACCTCCCTGGTGGCACCTTCCCCGGGCAGCAAACGCACGCGGGGCGACCTACACGTTCCAAACTCACCTAGAACAAAAGGCTGCTAGAAATAGGTTGTCAGGAGGAGTAAGCTGCCCCAAAAGCAGCTCAGATACGCCGTTCCATAATGGCTGGCAAGCAGCCGGACTCGGGTCGCCCTCGTGGCCGTGCGAGTCCAGCCTGTGGCGAATAACGGCACTGTGGCGGCCGAGTCCATGGTCTCCACATCGGCCATCCACTCTGTGGAGTGACCTTCGTCTTTCCACAYGAACGGGGACCAAGCTGGAGTGACACAGCAGGCATGGCTGCCCTAAAGCACCAACAGCTCCCATTGATAAAGCACTTGGTTAGGTACCACGCACAACTGCATGAAAATAGCTTGCATCCATAGAAACATCTCCACGGGGAGCAAGGAAGAGCTGTGTTTACGGCACGCTGGCTGGGTGCCCACACATGCAGGTGCAGGTGGCACTTCAGGCCCAGCTGAGGAGCCTCAGGAGCGTTTTTATGGAGCTCTGCAGCTTGGTGGAGCCAAAGGTACCCGGCACTGAGGGGCATCACGTCCTCAGGGATGGCTGRTCCCATCCTTCCTCACGTCCAACCATCCTGCTGGCAGGAACAGGTCATTTCCCGTGGGCATTTTCCCATGGGACACATCAAAGGAAGGCAGGCAGCGATTTGGGCACAGCCCAAGGGCTGGATGGTAGCAGGAATGTAGCTGAATATCCCTATTGTCTCCAGTGCATTTGCCTATGGAGCTTAAGTAATTCACGTGTTTAAGTGGTTTGCTGGAGCGGAGCCTGAATGCAGCTTTTGTGAAAAATCACATTTTTTCACCTTGGTGTTTTAACGGAGCTGCTTTCATGGTGCTTTCTCTGCTATTGGTTTACACAAAGATATCAATTAACGAATACCAAGGTTCTCCCCTATCAGTTAGCTAAGGGAAGCTGGGCAAGATGGGCCGAGAGAATTCCCAGAGGACGTTGCCTTCCGCAGTGCTAAAGTCACTTTTACTCGGCGAGGCTGCATTGCCGGCCACTGAAGTGCAAAGAGGCCACGGGTGCCGCGGGAGCAGATAGAGCTGCCCACGGGGAAGTCTCTTCGCAGAGACGGCTGGCTGTGAAATGACAGCGGCTGGAACAGAAGGTGGCGTTCCCTGGCAAAATAACCTCCAGCTTGGGCGCCTCTTGGGGACAAGCAGCTTGGAGCTTCCAGGGTCTTCAGGTGTTGTCGAGGGCAGTGATTAGGGTTAGAGCCGTGGTCTCAGCTGAGAATGAGGACAAGTAGTTTCAAGTAGTTTCATGCTCTTTATAGCTCGGAGAAAAGTGAATCCACACTCTATACTGGCCCGGAGAGGCCGCACAAATGCCCAGTGGGACAGGGAGGCCAGATGCGCACGGAGGCCCAGGGAGGCCGCACAAATGCTCGGAGGGCCCGGGGCACCAGCTGTGCACAGAGGCCCGGGGAGGTCATACSAAAGCCTGGAATGCCCGGGGCACCACGCACGCTTTTGTCCGACGTATTCTGCACCAGAAGCTGCCGTTAAGCCCGTGATGAGATTCCTGCTTTTCCCTCTTCTGTTCCTCAGGCGTGCAGTCTGCTGCAGTAAATGTTATTTTTGAGCTCACCAGATGCAATCCCAATAACTTATTTTCCGTGGCTCCACTGTTTTTCAAGCTGATGACGTCTTCAACCAACAATTGGGTTCTCATTAAAATTATAAAATTGGTGAGTGTTGTAGATCTCCCTTTGCAGGGATTGGGATTCTTGTCACCTGCTTTCGGGTGTGCAAGTGGATCCCCTGCTTGGAGGTATTATCATTAAAAGAAAAAGAAACTAGTAATCTCCCCTAGTGTTTGCAAACAGAACGAAAAAATATTTTAATATAACTCTGTAAAATCTAATGAATTGCAATTTAAGTGATGTGTTTACGCTGCTTAAAACCGGTCATTAAATTGGTTTATTGTCCACTCTTTTTGAATAGTTTGGTGCTCTTAYTCCATTAGAACCTAGGCTGGGAAAGAAGTTGATTGAGCCCCTGACCAACCTTATACACAGGTACGTACAACAAGTGTCACGGTGGTGGTTGGGCATCGGGGATGTTCTTTCTGGGCCCATCAGTAGCTCGTTGTCCAGCGATTTTTTTCTGAGTTTTTTGGGTAATCTGGATATATCGCTGACAATTTAATTACATCAGGACTATTTCTGAAGAACTCTAGTGAGATATAAAACCCAAATTGAACATTTGAAATGTGTTGCATGCCAGTTGATTTCTGAAAGGGTCTTCTGCTTGTGTCCTACTGATTCTACTTGGTGAGAATTCATCATTTTCTGCCTTTTTTGCTATCTCTTAAGAAAAAAATCAAGATTTGATATGATTCTTGGTCAAGATTGGTTCAGGGCTCCATAACTGGTGTTGAGRTTTWGTGTTATCACTTCCTTCCTCATTTCCCRTGTCAGTGCAGTTACTGACTTCTTCCTGGAGACAAAATGGTTTAACGCAGGACCCTGCAGATGTTTGGGAAGTCAAGATGAGGACTGCATAGTTCAAATGGCTACTTTAATCTCAGTAGCCATTTCCCCTCCTTCTGTCCTCCCAAGAGTTTTTGAGTGAGAATTCTTCATCTTGGAAGGTATATGGAACAGAAGACAATTTCCTGTGTAGTTAGAGCTGTTAACTTGTGTCAAGATATTGCTGACAACTCTGCAAAATGTGCTGTTTCTAGTCCTTACTTAAAACACCTGATTTGTGTTTCAGCACCTCAGCCATGTAAACTAGAACATGATTAACTCCCTCATCAATTAACACCAGCCGGAAACCTGTTTTATTTTTAAAGTTGCAGCCTATTAATATATTCCCATGACAGATTAAACTGCCTAGCAAGTTTGTTTCACTGTAGAGCTGTCACTAAGATTCTYTGCTGTCAGTAGCTGAGTTACTGCTGGTATGTCGTGTTGGCTAAAAGCTGAACCAAAGCACTAGCCAACAATTAGTCATTRTTTGTACACAGACTCCTAGATATCGCTAGAAGTATCRAATATGCCTAGCAATAAAATGAAAATAGGATGGRTGCTGAGCAAAGCTTAATGGAAAGCAGCTGTGACTTGACTTTTCTAAGAGTTCCAGCCCTTGCCTTTTTTTTTCTGTCCTACTGTTTATTAGTGTTATAAAAGTATATAAAACTAGTTCCTGTAACAACACACATGGGTCAGCAGACACAGAGGCATCTCTCCTTGTGAACTAAGCTCTCYGTTGASTTTTAGGTTTTGTGTTATAATGTAAGCAGTGATTGAGGAGACCGGAAAACAAATCTCCGCCTTGTGTTTCTGTGTTTCAGTTCTGATCTCTCTCTCCTCCGGGATGCCTAATCACAGTGCCAGCATCCAGGTACAGCACCGCTTGGGTTTGGGGTGGGAAGCTGTTTTTGTTCTGCTCTGCTGGGTCATCCTAAAGGCCATGGGGAAATAGGGTTGGGTTCCTCTGCCAAAGGTCCAAGTGGTCTCACCAAAGTGGTCTCGCTYAGCTTGGAGTCCTTATGATTGAGCATGTTCCTCATMGATYCTCTAACCTCCTTTGCTAYGAGATGCAGCTTCTTCTCATTTGGAGGTTTCTTAACTGCTACCTTCGTCTGCTGCTCTCAGTACAATCCTGAGAACTGTTCTTTTAATTTTAACAATTGCTMGTGCAACAAGTCTGTCTTCCTAGAAGCCATGGGTCCTGGTCAGAGCATTTGTTTATTAGAGCCACCTTTGCATACTGAATTTTATTCATTTATTTTACCAAGAAATTTTTTGAAGACTTTTAAGGCTTCTATAATAAGCGTGACCTGGTCTTTTTTTCAGCTTTGTGTTCAGAAGTTAAGAATATTAATAGAAGATTCTGACCAGAGCTGTAAGTATGTYGCTTGTSTTTGTGGAAACTTGTAGTGAACGACCACTGGAGAGAARTTGCAGCAGAAAAAAAGCAGTCCTAGAGCAATGGGTTGTTTCTACAAGCAGCTTGTTCAGAATACTAGTGCCTGGTATGTTGTAAACAATTCCTGGAAATAATTTTGGGTAGTGAACACTTGCAAGGAGCCTTTTTGAAAGGGAGGAATTACTGCTGTTTGTGGTCTTGTAAATCCAAGATGTGACTATTTCCATGCTCTGGGGTTTCCCTTTTTAAAAACTTTCTGCTTGGAAAGTAGTGAGGGATGTTTTGTAGTGTAAGCGTAACAGTAGCATGCAGGAAGGGTGGTTCCCTGAGAAGAAGATCTCAGGATCAATAATTTCGATCGTGGCAAAATAAGACTGGTGTTCTAGATGCGTGTACTGCATTTCAGATGGTGAGAAACATATTAAATTTGTGCTTGTTTAAATCACGAGTTTTGATCACAAATCTATGCCACTAAGTTGGTGTGTGCTAGTTGAACAATCCATATAGGCATGATGGTGGTGGTGTGAATCAAATTATTCAGCCTTCAAATTATTTTTAAAGACTTCTATTTTCAAGCAGAAATTAGTGATTTAGCTGTGGAGTTCAGTTATCGCTTTTCTCTTCAGGCAGGCTAAATTGTCACGAATGAAACGTGGAAGAAATCTCTATTGTGTGTGGAAACTTTCTTGCTCCAGTTGGTTACCACCATGTTCCTGCATAGCTTATGACATACGTGTATGGCATCTGTGGTGGCACTGCCAGGGTTCTTTCAAGGCCCAAGTAATCATTTAATTTCATTTTACTTTTCTCAGGCTGCTCCGCACCCAGGCTCTCATCACTGGATCATGACAAGGCTTGCTAGCATCTGCCCTGCAGCAGAGGAGTTGCAGACAATCCAGGAAAGTTTCTCTCTAAGAATGTGCTCTTTTATCTCTGATTCACTGACAATGGGAATCAGGGAAAAGAAGAAGAAAATGAAGACAAAAGGTAATGCTTTTTTTCGCTTAAATGGTTCTTTGATATAGTAGCAAAAGTGAGATTGGTGGAAAAGCAACAGTGTTAGGCTACCTGTAGAAACATGCACATTGGAATACTAAARCAGAGGAGAAAAAAATTACATGTTAAGATAATAAACACGACTCTTCTTTTTCATGGTGCTTTTTCTGTCTACCTGAATGAAACTGTATTTATAGTCATTATTCTAAAATGCCCTACTGCACTGCTGAAGCTAGATATAGAGAACTGAGAAAATAAAAATCGTAAAGAGAATGCTGTGACATCTGTCCATAGGCAATGAAGTTTGTAGTCTCTTCAGTTCCTGTGAAAATAGTCATCCCACAGCATCAGCTGGGACCAGAAACTATGGTCTTCTGTGAAAATAGAAGGATTTAAAACGGCAAACAAAAGGTGGAGACTTTCACAGTTGTTCTCATGGCATGTTACCTAGCTCATAGCTGTCATTAAATTCTTAAAATGAGTAATGCAGATCCAGGACACCATATGGAGCTTTCTTTATTCTTCTGTTACCAGAAATTATCATAAATAGATCACAGTCTTACTAAGGAGCGTTAATAATAGAGAAGTGAGGCATTACAGTGTTGCTCTTTAGAAAGCTTGGAGTTGCCTGTGGTTTGATGCAAAACAGCCTCAGTGCTGCTTGTAACAGCTTTTTGCAGGGTTTCTCTCTGAAGAAGAGTAGAAACTGAGCCCTCAGTGCTGAAAGCTGCAGGAGTCAGCAGGCTTGGCAAAAGGACTGCAGCGAGTTTCAATCTGGATACGAAATTCTGGATTCTGGTTTTCCAAGTGCTGGTTACCCTAGCTGTGGGTGAGTGTTGCACGCTCTTCTGCAATATAGTCAGAGTTGCTGTGTGCTAGTGAAGTTGATGGTAATCTAAATCACTTTAGTAACTTTGCTTTCCAGCTTCCCTGGTGTGTGCAGGGAGAGCTGAGGACACCTGTGCATTTCCTTCTTACTGCTCTGCTCATTCCGTCCAGGTTCTTGTCGTTTTAGCTCCTCCTTCTCCTGTTTCATTTCAGAAATGCTGGCTTTCAAAACAAAATGCAGGCTCCTGGAATAGACCCTGTGCCACCTCCTAAAAATACAACAGAATATGCATGCAATAGAAGAGACAGCTGAAAAGGCAGAGGGGAAGAGAGATGGGAAGAAGGGAAAAAGAGAGGAAGATGCTGCCTGACAAGATAGTGTTCRCATGGTTCCATTTTTATGAGTGTTTCAGCATTTTTGATAATTTTAGTGGTCTTTTCCTTTACATAACATGCTGTAGATAATTTTAAATTGCACTCTGTAATCACTACAGAAATGGCATCATTCCTTAAGAGTGAAGTTGCCTATAGCAACAGTTCCTTCCTTTCCGTTATGTCTCCTTCCCTTCCCCCTCGCTCTCCAGAAGAAACTCTTGTGCAGTAAGCAGGTATTCGGAGGTAAATGCTATTTTAAAAAAATCTCTGGTGTTTGTCTATGTGTTTGTCTGTAATGTTGTCGGGTAGCTAATGGATTGCTGTACTCTGCATCCTTCTGTTCTCCATTGAAACTGCACCTTTAAAACGTCTTGTCATACTGGAGTATTCCGAACCACTGGTTTTTTAGGGTTTACTGAAAAATATCCTTGGATATTTTATAATTGGAACCTTTTTCTTTGAAAGTTTTATTTGTTTTGAGGTGTAAAACAGGTTCTGTTTAAACATTCTGGCTTGAGAGTTATACGTGCAACAAAAATAAATATGTGGAGAGGGTTTCAAGTGCTTCTTGTGGTTGTTTAAGTGCTTCTGTAGTTGTTTAAACAGGTACCTTGTTTAACCAGTACCGTGCTGCTTTACTGACCTAAATGTCACTTAGGTGCCCAGCTCTGCCAGAGCTGCTGCCGTCATCTGTCCTGTACATTTAGGCGGAGGAGGYTCCATAATCTCGCACAAACGGAAGCCTCAGTTCTGATCTATCATTGCGATATCATTAACCTCATCTGCTGCTGGTGAATCAGAAAGATTGGACAGGGTGCGGACTGGTTCACGTGCAGTCTGAGTCTTTGATTTGGTCAGGGCAGAGGAGAGGAGGCAACGGCGCATCCCATGCGAAGACCTTCCCTTATTAGAAATTAGGAAGTGGAAAGATTAAATGCTGCTAAAAATACCGCCCAACTGAAAGAAAAGCCACTGGGGCTAAAAATAGGAGTTTAAGTGGCATGGCAACGTAGTTGACTTGGGTGTCTGTAACGACCAAGAAGCCAGATATGGAAGATGCCTGTATGAGCCGTGCGTCCGCGGGGAGCGCCTGGTGCTGCCAGGTAAAAGAGCTGTCAAAAACCAGAGCTTGAGGCTCCTGCCTGCCTTGACCGTCCACCCTGGGCACAGGGGCCAGGGCTTTCCCACCGAACCTGCCTTCTCCCTTGTGCAAATGCTGTTTAATGAACATATCTCTGCAGTCTACACCACTCCTGGCTGGGAGAAGGAGGAGAGTCCTCCTTGGAACAGCCGGTATGGCATATTCTTGGGTGCTTTCCTGGGAATTCGGAGGCACTGCAAAATCTGGCTGTTTTGGCTCTTGCTCTTGGGTGTTTTAGAGGTCCCTGGGAACGCTCACTGAGCAGTGTAACCCTTTGAGTAGGGCTGTATGGGAAAGGAAAAAGACAGTCTGGAGGAATCCCACAGGGAGACGTGAGAAACTGAAATGCTTTGGGTTCATTCTTTAAACATACATATATTCCAAAACTAGGCATTTTCCCGTGATAGCCAGTATTTTTAAAGGATTGAACACCATTTTATTAAAAAAAAAAAAAATCAAATGGACTGTATTTGCCTACTTTGTGCTTGCAAAACTTGTGTGMACTTTTCTGAGTGGTGTGAAGGATCACAGCGGCAGCTCTGCTCTAGCTGCAGAGGCTGGAGGATATAGATAAGCCCCTGGGCTTTCCAGTTCCCTGTTTCAGATTGTGATGTGTCCATGGATGGTTTTCACCCCGCTATACAGTGGGCAAGACAAGTGTGTGCCCCTGAATCCACGTCCCCAAAATCTCACACAAGTTGCTGAKGAGACAGGATTAAACACTGGGAACTGTGGTCCCACCGTGTCCTTTCCTGAGCCTGTGTCTCCCTGGTGGCATCTGCCACCCACAGTCACCTCCTGCTCAGGTAGAAGCTCTGCTCATGTCAAGCTGTAGCAGCTGATCTCCAATTTGCATAGTTGATCATTAATTTTCTGTGAGTACAACACAGTGTTGTAGGATGTGAGATCTGGCAATGCCTCCTCTAGCAAGGGTGTGTTCTCGTGCTGTGGAAGGGTAGAAAGTCATTTTGGGATAAGCATTGCGAAATAATGAGTCACCTCTGATTAATGTTTGACTACAGGCAGCAGGCACTAGGACCTCTGGGACACTCGGCACCCGCAGCGCTCCCCTGAAGAGAAATCAGGAAATAACACAGGCGCTCTCTCGGAGAGCACGTCCTTGAACATGAAGCATTGACTCTCTATACAAGGAGCAATTTGTTCTCCAGGAATTCTGGGATTTGACGCCAGGCTCAGCTGTGAGCACCCCTGAGACCTCTCTGGCCCYTGCATGGACGTTGCTGGCAGGTGAGTGCAAAGGTCTGTTGGAGTCGTGGAGAGCAGGTGAGCTTCCCGTCTGCTTCGCTGGTGGAAGGAGATGAATGCAGCTAGTGTTGTGGTTGGCGAGGTGAACAACCAGGTGTATTCTGCTCCTCAGCAAATGAGCTACGCGGAATTTGTCCAAGTGACGCCTTAGAGCCATGGGATGTCTGTAAAAGGGGAAAACTTCTCCGGTTTGTATTTGAGAGGTGCAATATATCCGGCTCAAGCTTCAGCGCAAGAGCGCAGGCTGCAAGCATGTGCCCCTGTTTTCCGCCGCTGCGTGCCTGGGTCGTGGTAGCTGTTCAGTGTTTCTGCACTAGAAACAAGCCTAAACTCTTCAGTTTGTGGTCAGGGAGGTTCAGAATTGAAACTTGTAGTATTTCTTCATTGTGACTATAACCAGGTAGCTGGTTAAAAGATTGCGGATTAGATTCAGAAAGGGGAGGTGGTARTGGGTGAATGTTCCCTAGACATTCTGCCCGTGCATCCTAATTGTCGGAACAGACTTTCCAGTGGTGGAAAGTGCACAGACCAAACTTCTCCAGGTATAATATTTGCTTTACAGCAAGGTGTGTACGTGGCGCCGGGGAGGGTATGATTCACCTGCTTGGTAGCTGGTGGCTGCACTGATGTACCAGAGGGTCCCCAAATTCACCCCTGCACAGATATCCATGTGGAGGGGTCTCTGGTGGTGCAACCCCTTTTGCCCCTGCAGTGGCTCGAACCACAGGGGCCCATCCGCAGCGCAGAGCGAAGAGCTGGTGTTTCCCACCAGAAACTCAGACCTTGGCTCTGTGAGGAATGTGCAGGGGGGCTCTCATTGCCCCAAGCACCTGGCAGTACACCTGGCCCAGGCTGCAGGGCAGAACTATGCGCTAGCTGAAGGTGGCTCTGGAATAGAAAAATAACCTGCAGGCTACTTAGGGTAGCTTTAAGATGCCACCGGTTGCCCTTTTCGTGGTGAATGTTCCCTTTGCTGTGGATTCTGGCTGAGGGCGGATGGAAGTTGGCATTGGGAAGTCCTCCCACCCTTGCGGTCACCTCAAGGGGTTGTGTTTTGCCACTTGTGATGTGAAGGAATGACCGTGAGTCACCCTCTGAAAGAGGAAAGGAGCAAAGACCGTCATCCCTGCTCCTGGTCGCTGAGTGAGCCCTCACCCCACTCCCAGCATCTGGGTGCTGCTTCCTCCTCCTGCGTGGCCAGATTCCAGGAATGTCGCTGCGGGAGAAGCGGAGCTGGCTCCTGGAAGTGAGACCAGTGCAGGAAGGCCTGATCTGGAGGTCAGGGGTGGGTTCACCCACTGACAGCACCCTGGAGAGGAAGAGAA